ATGCATCTAGAAATCAACTGGAGTAGAAATCCAGTTGGAGAAGGAGTAAAGGTTGATTCAGTTACTCTAGGAACTGATGGAGAATGCGGTCTATTATTGATTGATGGAGGATATTGAGGAGGTAAAGTACTAGACACGCTATTATAGAGTGGTGGAGCAGTTGATTGGGCAAATGGTTGTGTTTGAAGGAAATAGTTTGGTGGTGGTGGTTGAATAGGTTGATAGGTTTGAGGTTGCGCATTTGAGAGTATTGGTTGATAGATAGATTGAGCTTGTTGGAATGTGTAAGAAGGAGGAGGTTGATTAAGAGTTGGTTGGTTAATAATCAAATTGCCTTGGTATGAAGGAGGTGAAACAATTTGAGGTTGAGGCACATTCCCATATACAAGTGCATTCAAATCAATTCCGTTATGTTTGACTCTTTCTTCGCAGGTCAATCCAAATTCATCTCTTATATACATATTTGCTCCATTTTTGATTAATGTCTTGACAACATTCCAGTGTTTGCATTGAATGGCAACTTGAAGAGAATTCATGTTGCGATCCATAACTTTCAAATCAACTTGAGCTCCATGTTTTATCAACCATTCAACTGCCTCTGGATTGTTATGTTTAGATAATGCATAGAGTGGTGTTTCACGTTCTTGATTCAAACAATCCACAATGAGAATGTTATGTTTAAGATTCTTAGTAATAAGATAATTAGCTCTTTCGAAATTCCTTATACGGAGAGCATTAATAAATTTTTCAACTTGAGTAGCAATTACTTGATTAACAATAATGTCCATGCTTGGATTTGTTGGAATGGTAACTGTTTTTGGCTTGGCACCCATTCTAATGAGATAGGAAGCAAATGGAATAAGATTTCTTTCCATACAATATTGTAAAATACTTCTTCCATAAATTATTCCATTAGTATTGCCTCCTCTTCTAATGAGGAATTTCAACATTTTCATATTTACAGAATCTACAGCTACACCAAGAGCAGTCTAATTTCCGTTTAATCCATTATTGTAAATTAAAATTCATTTCAATCACCATTAAAATCTTCATATTAGAATTTTAAATACTTACGCACTAATCATCAATTAATTTATCAGTTAAATTATAAAGAAATATGAAAATTTACTTACTCCACTAGTATCACAATCATTTATTCCGGCTTCTCTGTTATTGATCATGGCTTCAACCATTTCATAATTTCCCTCCCGAACCATCTTTAAAAGCAAGCTAATCTTTCCATTGTTACCTTGTTGATAATTATTGTTAGCACAATTACTAGTATTACTACTCGTATTCATACCACTCGAATTATTATTAATATTATTAATATTATTATTATAATTATTATTGCTACCCGGAAGAGAAGCTTGTCCAGATCCACCCGATCCCATCGCCATGCCCATCGAAGCAACCATAAAGGACGAAGATGACAATGGACTCGTTGTCGTAGTGGTTGTTGTTGTTAGTAGTGGTGAGGAGGGTTTTTCATCAGCACCTCCTCCTGCTAAATCATCTTGTTGTTTTCCACCATCATCATTGCTCGAACTGGAGAGTTTCATTTTTTGTCGTAGTGTTTGAAAGACCATCGTGATGCAAAGTTCATGTGTTGTTGTAGTTGATTGTCTATTGTTGTTGTTGGTGATGAAAGTTGTTGGTTAAAGAAAGTTTGGAGGGGTTGGTGTTGATCTTCCGAAAGAAGCTGAAAACGAAAGACTATTTTTTTTGTTTTTTGGCCAAGTCACTTGCCAAATAGAAGGCACATGTGAAAGGTGAATTAATTTTGGTATTTGTTGTGAATATGGGAGTGGATTTGATTGGTTGGACAGAAAGTTTGTGAATATCTATGAACAACAAGTTCATTTATTACAATAAAAACTTGATCAAGCAACAGACTTGGTTGTATCCTATTGTGTGATTTTCTCAGAAATTACGAACGCGCAAAGAAATCTCAATCCAACTTAATGACATAATTCAAATAGAACCAATAATGTTACCTATTCTCAACTTGCATCGTTTTCCAATTATCAATCCTATTCTGAAATATTAGAAAAGCTCCCAATTACCGTTGATAATTACAGAGAAGTATTACTTCATAGTAGTTGTCCTGGAATCCCAAAATTAAAAAAGATTGTAAACAGTCTTTTTAGATAAATTCCATTATGTAACTCAATCAATTTGAATAGCACAACATC